CAACTATTGGAATGACACCGTATGAAGCTCTCTCTAGTAGAAAATGCAGATCACCTGTTCATTGAGACGAATTGGAGAAAAGAGAGTTTTGGAACCAGAGATCATTGAAAGAACAGTTGAAATCATTGATAAGATCCGTACCAGGATAAAGGCCGCGCAAGATAGACAAAAGAGCTATGCAGATACTAAGAGAAAAGATTTGAAATTTGAAGTTGGAGAGAAAGTCTTTCTAAAGGTGGCACCAATAAAGGGTGTACTTAGGTTCGGCAAGAAAGACAAACTACAACCTAGTTATATCGGACCTTTTGAAATACTTGACAGGGTTGGAAATGTGGCTTATCGATTGGCATTGCCACCTGAACTATCGGCAGTTCACAATGTGTTTCATGTATCGATGATCAGAAAGTATATGCATGATCCTGATCATTTGGTCAACTACCAATCCTTGGAAGTACAAAAAGACTTATCTTATGAGGAATTACCGATCAAGATATTGGATCGAAAGGTACATAAATTACGGAACAAGGAGATTCAACTAGTCAAGGTGCAATGGAATAATCATGAAGTAGAATAAGCTACTTGGGAAAGAGAAGAAGAAGTTAAAGACAAATACCCAACACTCTTTGTCCAACCATAAGGTAAATTTCAAGGACGAAATTTCATTTAAAGTGTAAGGGTTGTAGTAGCCGAGAAAAATAAAATGAAATTATGCTAATATTTTGTGATGATCTAGCAACACGAGCCTAACGCATTTTAGAAACGACCTATGGAAGCTCAATCCATGTAAGATTACGAAAGCTCAAGTCATAATTTAATTAAAAGCCCAACAATTTAAGAGACTAAATTTAAGTAAAATTGATTACAAAGATTTAATGAATAACTGAGTTGCCACAATGGTCATCTACATGAAATTTCATATAGGCAACCTAGGTTCGAATCACCATGTAGATTTTTTTTATAAAACTTTCATATGAATTATTTTTATGACTTAGAGACTCTTCAAATTCTTAGTTAAAGACTAAGTTTAATAAATTTAATAATAATACAACCCCCACTTAATTTTTCATTAAAAAGAAATGTTATAAAAGTGGAAGGTTACTTTTTCACTACACTCATCTTCAAATCCGAATTTCATCTTATTTTCTCTCAAAAAAATATATTTCATATCAAGTTAAACTTAAGGAATAACAAGGGTGAGAAGAAGGAAGACTTTCTATACATTTTGTTCTTTTATCCAAGAAAATTCTAAGTAGGTACAGGTGCAAGTGTTCATTCGTTTTCAAATCTGATTTTTCGATGAATGCTTGAATGAAATGGTACTTTCGGGTACGGTGTTTCGGCACTACAATAGTTTCAATGATCATTCTCCGGCTCTACGTATTATGATAATGCAATAGTAATTGGATTTTGCCGGAAATCCATCTACGTGCGACGGTATGAATCTATAGTTCGAAATTTCTAATTTGATAACGAATTGCACCGATGATATCTATTGAGTTTCAAACTCATGGGTTAATTCCCTTCCTACGGGCTGAATGGATTTTTCTTGGGGCGTAGATGATGGTAAATGATGATGCAACATGTCATGGAAAAGCCGGTGATTTACATTTTTAGTTGATTTTGAGATGTTTAAACTTTCTTTAAATTTGATTCCTATGAATATTGTGTGGATCTATTTTACGAACATTCGTTATGAATAAACTATGTTTGAAAGTAGATATGCGTCATAGGAATAGATTTACAAATCACCGTATAAAAAAAAAAAAAAGTTAGCGACTTAAAATTTTAATGTCTCTTCAAAAATTTTAGTTTTTGCCTCATCTTTAAAAAAATCATAACTCTTTCGTTACTTGATACTTTTTATACGAAACCAATTGGATTGGATAGCCTAGTTAGTTAGATACTGAATAAAATTGGAATCATGTCAATCCAATATCAGCGAAAGGTTATATGTCACATAAAGTAAACTGTGCTGGGTGTTGTATCTATTTTTCAGCTTTTACCCTTGTTTTCAAAAATTCATAACTCATCCGTTACTTGGAATTTTTGGATGAAACCAATTGGATTTGATAGTTTCATGGATTAGCTACTGAATAAATTTGAAATCATGTGATTTTGACATCGGTGGAATTTTATATGTCATTTTAAGTGGACTGCACCGGTTTACCTTTCAACCGGATCGCTGCTGAGTTTTGAAAAATATTTTAATACCCCATATGTTGTTGACAGAAGCTAATTTTTTACTATGTCATATTATAAGGAGTTTATTACCTTACATTAAAATTTGATGAAGTTTCAAGGTTGATAATTATGAAAACAAATTTATTTTGATAATTACTATTTGAGACAAAAAACTGGAACAGTAACATTACTTTTTAAGTTTTGCCAAAATTTCACGTCAATAGTTATTACATGCATGGAACCCATTCTAAAAATATTTTTGAAATTTTTTTCTTTTATAATTGGATTATTGTTTAAATAAAAAAAGAAAATTCTTTAATTAAATTCTAAAATTTAAATCTTTATACCTTCTACTAAAAATATATCGAACTAACTTTACAATTAACGTACAATGGTTTGAGTTACGTTTCCGTCCATGCGGGTCGGGGCGTTACAGACTCTATTTTAATCCGCGGTTTTCCTATCGACGTTATAGTAATATATTTAACATAAGTTAACATCTAAGTTTAAACGAGAACTAATAATATTAAATGTTAAATTATATTCATAAATAAATTATTTTCAAAATTGGTTGCTAAAAGATATTAATAGAACAAATATATCTTTTTTTCATATTTATTTACCTTTCCTTATTTGATAATGTTGTCATGTGGAGATTGGTAACGGTAGGGTTACATTTCTACTGTTATAATTTGATTAAAACTCATTTTCATCTTATTAGTGAGATGTTAAATAAAAATTGAAAAGGAATATATTTAGATGTACAAAGATTGATAGGGTTTCGGCATATTGAAAATTAACGAATTTAATTCTCTAACTATTTTATGAAAGTAGAAGATAGTAGTACTAGTTAGGAAACTTTAATATTTTCACACAATCAATACGTTGTTTCCTCCGTTCTTTCCAAACCACAACTCACAAGGGTATAATAAGTTAAAAAACAACAAATGGAAGAAGAATAATGGAAAAAATTGTTTAAATTAGAATCATAAACTTGCGGAGAAAGATGTGATCATGTAGAAATTAACAGATTAATAGGCAAATGTGACTAACGATTTGTTCAATAGTAGCAGATATGCGTCAAATGTTAAGAAAATGAAAGTTTATATTAGGGCTTCTGAAACTTTGGACTAGATTTGCTGGCGTAGTTTTGTTGAGTTATGATTTGAATTATTGAAAATATATGTTTTTTTTTTTTTTTTTTGGCATTTCATATGATTTTTGAATAATTTTATTTTAGTTTAGATATTGGGTGGGGATGTGTTATAAACTTATTAAATCATAGGGCAATAATGATGATCATAATTTACTTTCCATAATTATTTCACCATGTTGGTTGTAATTTGTATTGCCAGATTGATATTTTTTCTGAAAAGTGAAAAATGTAAAATGTTTAAGTTAATAAAATTAACGTTTTAGTTAAAAAATTTATAAATGGTTTAGTTTGATTCTATGTAATCTTTGAAAATCAAAATCTAAACCAAACCATTTTGAAGCAGTTTGGTTTAGTTTGAGGAAAAAAAATCACGGGTCCATGTGGATTAGAACCAACGGTTTCCACTTAATGGTTTTGGCTCGATTTGCGATTTCGCGATTTTTTTGTGCAGCCCTAGTTTGAAGTCTCTAATCGCTGGTTAATCGAATCGATCTAACTAACTTACATTTTTACCTTTTTTGTTTGAAAAAATAAAAATTAGACGATGAGCCATTATCTCATAACTTTATCTTCATTCTCAATTCTCTTCAATCTATGATGTTTCTTGTAAATAATAGAATTGAAAATTTCCTTTTACAAGTCCATTATGTTATACTTAACATTTTTTTCTTACTCAGATAGTCAGGTGACATAATGTATAAAAAGCTAATAAAATTCTTAAGATTTTCAGTTGATCTGTCTCTATTAACTTGATTTTATTTATTGGTCAATAATTATTGTAATATAAAATTATTTAGTTATTTTATTTCTTGTAATTTAAGTGGGCCCATATCTCGGACATTTTTTTTATTTTTAAATTCAATTTGAACTAAAAGTTCAAATTGACTAATTGAACCAAATCAAACCAATTTGATTTGGTTCAGTTTGGTTTAAGAGTTATAGTGGATTGATTTGTTTTGAAATTCAACCAAATTGACTAATTTGATTTTGATTTCTGGTTGAAATCGAAATCGACCCAAATCAAACCATCCTCAAGCCTTTAGGCATCTGAAATATTGATAATGAGGTAGTCAAATTTATGCCAATCTTTTGTTAATGATATTTAGAAGACTTAAAAAAAATTAAATTAAATTAAAATAACGTACATTGCATGCTTATACTAAAATCATCTAAATCACAATCTATATCCAATAGTTTACAAGACCCAATATAATTCATCACTACGATATTATAGTAAGTGTTGTAATTAACGATTTCAACGAATCCTGTACCTTCAAGAAATTCTTTATTTTATTTTGAACTAATTAATAAGATAGATGGGCTGAAGCCAATTTATTTATTCGAAATGTTTTAATAAAATTTAAAACAAAAGTTCAAAATTTTACTTTGTATAAATGATACCTTTTAACATATTATGCCCCACCTTGAGCTCTATTAAAAAAAAAAAAATGATCTTGTAATAATGATTTTTGGATTTTTGGTAAATGTGTAATTAAAATGTAGAAATTTTTTTAATTGACATGTAAAATTATTTTATAGGAAAATATATGATTTAAAATGAATTTTAATAAAAATGGGCTTTATCCTCTCTTTTTGTCTTCGTTTTTCTTTTTTATGTATTTGCTAAATAAAATGAATTTTTTCCCCGCCCTCGCCCTGAGCGAAATGGCATTTGTTATTACTGTTGATGCATCAAGCCATATTTAAATAGATGGCTCGGTCATAGATGCGGCTGAGTCCCTTTTCTCGACTTTAACCAGGAATCTCCGAAGTCCGAATAAAAAAAAAAACAAAAAGAAAGAAAAAATGCGAATAATGGCCGCGCGATCTCTTTGGCGCGCCAAAACGAAGCTGTTTTTGGCAGCCACTGCGGCTGGTGGAGCCGGCACCGGCGCGGCAATGATTGCCAACTCAGATGACCCTGCCTCAACCGTGAAGCTCTGCACCGCCGTCCCTCTCCGCCTCCTCCGTGACTCCGTTACTGCCGCTACGATTGCTTTCGGTAAAACTAAATTTATTATCTTTCCGAAATCAATTGTTCAATTGGGCTGCTATTCCAGTTAGTTAATTTTTGTTCGAATTTCTTGCATTATTAACATGCGTAGGCGCATTTGTTTTCAATAGCTTATATTCCTTAGGCGTTTCTTTTTGATTTAGGTCTTTAATTTATTAGTCATAATTAATTATTTGTACAGTTGCATTTCTGATATTTATATTTCTGGTTGGTCCTTGAATTTATACTATTGTTTGTGTTTATTGCAGTTAAGTTAATGTATTGTTTTTGAAATCTTAAATATTTTTTGGATTCAATCGATCATTTTCACAGAAGGAAATTTCGTGTAAATTTTTTATCATAAATAAATTAAATCATTTATAATGACATCAATGGGATGGAAGCAAACATAATAAAGGGAGAGAATAAAAAGGAGGGATTGATCACAGAGTTGTCCTGGAGACAAATAAAAGCGATAATAGAGGCTCTAATGTGATCGATAAGAAAATATTCTGTTACACTAAAAACACTACATTAAAATATATCAATAAACACATAGATTAGAATTAATTTCAAGTGACTGAGCACGTATAGGCCAGGCCACATCTGTCTCTTAGTACTAATTTCATCTCATCCAAGAAGGTGGTAGGGATCTAGTATAGGAGCTCAATGTTATGAATGCTAGTTATCAGCCAATAATGCTTTTCAAACCATACTGGTTTCATATGACAAAATCGAACATGCCCAATGCATTGTTGAACAAGGATAAAACGGGCATTGAGGCGTTTCATGACGTGAGGCATGTTGAGGCATAAGCCTCTAGATAAACCAATAAAATGATGAAAAAAAATAAAATCAGGAACTAAAATATACTCCCAATAAACCATATCAAAAAATCATTATAAAACATATTGACAAAATCGAAGACCTAATTGTTAACAGATATAAAATAGATATATAAAATAAGCCCCTGTTTGGCCCCCATTTCTGGTAATAAAAATGGGAAGAATAGTGCTTTGTTAAAAAAATAAGTGGTTGAAAAAGAAGGAAAAATTTTCGATTTACGTGTAATATTATTTTATGAAAGATTGTGTGGTTAAAAATAGGAGAGAGAAAAATAAAATGTAATGTAATGTAATTTAATGGGAATCAAACAAGGGCTAAATCAACAAATTAGTAATCTAATATTAGAAGTAGTAACAACTTAGAAGTCTTCTATCACTGATAAAGTCTTAAGAGAATCATGGACATATTTGATTCCCTTATCATTCTCCTCGTCGCTGTTAGTTCATTTTTTTTCCCCATTACGTCATCGTACCTCACTTGTAAAGGTGTCTTATCTTTCCTCTTCTCTTTCATACGGAGGGCATAAAAAGTAAAACGGAACACATGTAAAGCATTCTAGGCTATAGAAAAAGTAGCCCAAAAAGCTGGCCAGTAATGGAAAGTTTCAGAAAAGATGTAACAAATGCCCCCCTGTGGCTTATTCGTGAGGACTGAGGAGTAAGGCTCACTGAGTCAGGTCTTTTGATAAGATACAATTCCTAGGCTATAATGCTGTTTTAGAGTTTAAAATACTGAACAATTCATGCAAGCTTTATCTGGGTGAAGTCAGTTGTTGGTTCTAATGTCTATCCATACCAAAAAATTCAGTTCTAAATGGCAATGGACTGGTGCAAAATGATTCACAAAATATAGGCAAACTAAACCAATACCATAGCAGGCCTGTAGAAAAAACTTGATTTTAAGAGATTGCAGTATTTTTTTTAATGTTCTCGTGCTGTGAAATATGTGTGTATTAAAATCAGACCTTAGACTTTTAATTTCATTAATTAGCAGTTACTAAAGAGTTCACAGAAATTCAGTTAGTTAGACAGGTTTTAGAGTCTGTGGTGTTCTCTTTGCTATATAACTGTAACTAGTAATGGAGAAACCAAGTCTGTGGCTTTTGAGAGTCTTCGGTTATTGCTTCAAGTTTTATATATTTGCTGCCTTAAGAGCATAAATGTTTTGAGTTAATTTATATTTATTGCCACAGAAGTATGAATAGGTAATTTTTTCCCCTATCTGAATTAATATTAAGTGGTCTTGGTTTAGTTACAAATATCAACGACAAACTACGAAGTGATTCAGGGTCAACTAAGTGCATATGAAAGATACGACGATCACGAACTATCCGTTGTTCTCATCTTTCATGTACTTTCTTTAATCACGTGATGGGATCCTGATGGATATTCTTACAAGACTTTTTGTAGACTAGACATTCGGTTTAGGCAGAAGAATAAGAAATTTTTTGGAATTTATGGATGGATATTCTTGCAAGACTTTGTAGACTAGACATTCGGTTTAGGCAGAAGAATGAAATATTTTGGAATTTATTTTGAATGGTTTTCTTTATTTCTTTTCACAGATACTAGTTATTGGGTAAAGTTCCATTTTTATGTTTTTGTAACTTAGGAACTGGTTTTTGGATAGTAAAGACATTTGATTATTGAATATTGAGATATATTGAAATTTTCAACACTCAAATTCTTATCTTCTTTTGTTCTTGTGTGCTTCTCTTTTCTTCTTCTCTGTACCTCTCTCCCTTCTTTCCTCTCTCCTGTTTATATGTACATTACTGCATCATCACGCTTCATGTTTTGAAATTGTTTTGGTTTCAAACTTCTCTTTAATATTGATCATGCGCCTTTTGTTTCTGTGACTAATGGGAAAGTGAGTAACCTAAAGAGGGGAGATTTACTCTTTTTGTCCATGAGGGAAGCACTAGGGTGACTTCAAGAGGCCTGGACTCTCCCAAATCAACCCTCAATTACTGCTTTAATGAA